CTCTCTCTCTCTCTCTCTCTCTCCTTTAACTGGCGTAGTACACGGGTAAGATGATGACGACAGCGATGACTCCAATAAGGAACACACAAACAAACACGGGGTTGATCTTACTGCAGGCCTTCCCGTCAGAAGTTTCCAAAACCTCTACCTGTGTGTCTTCCTGGAAGAAAAAAAATGACAAATAATTACTTTTACTTGATATACTCAGGTGATGGTCTTAGCTATAGTGACCACAATAATGAAGTCTTGGGACGAAATAAGCTATCTCAACATGATATATTGATATTGTAGATATTTTGCTTTTTTCCCCTTAATTCAAAGAACTGATCAAATTTACCCTCCTTTGTGAGTGATCAGTGTCTCCGAGATGTACATTATTATGCTTTTACACCCAATCGACACAATTTACATAATTCAAGAGGCGGTCTTCGATCCTAGCTACCAGGGCCAGCCTAGGCTGAGAGGGCTACAATGCCACAGTGGTAATCGTTTCTATCAAAGTGTACGTTAGACTCTAATCTTAGAAGTCCAACTGGTTGCTACTCACATTATTAGCGTCTGTTGTGATCTTTTCTACGTGTCCGTCCTTCCACACGTACCTCACGCTCTCCCCGTGACTTATACCTCCGTTCTTCAACTGCACTTTTCCGTCTTTCCATACGTACTCATCCGTGCCACTGCGCACGCGCACGTCGTCAGCGCTCACACTGCGCATGCCACGGCTCCCGTGGAAGGTTCTAGATTCGGGCAGTAGGTGCTGCTTCTGAGACTGATGCGGGTTGTTGTGGTAGTGATCTGAATCCTCCTCGCATCTGCCGCTTCTTCCGAGGTTGTTGGCTGATCGCTTGTAGTGAGGTTGTTGCTGTTGTTGGTGATAGTTGTGGTTGTGATGGAGGTGATGGAAGTTGGGATGAAAAGGAATTGTTTCCCTCGAGTTACTGTGAACTGCGCAGGCAGGAGAGTTACCATGTACCCTTTCCATATAGATTAGGTCGTGTCGGCATCCACCTTTAGATCTCGAGGAAAGATCATTGTACGATCTTGACATTTTGTGAGTAGATGGTATCAGCCCACCGCCTCCACCAAGCCCCGCCCCCAGGTTAGTCTTAGGCCGGGCGGAAGGCCCTTGGGTGTTGTTGTAGCCTTGATGGTCATAACCACTCGCGCCGGTAGAGGGAGCCCCAATGATAACCCCTGTACGAGATTCACTTAGCAGCTTGTCAGAAGGAAGAGAATCACAAACATCTGTGTCAACAGAGGCGGCGCCCTGCTGCTGTGTGCACGAACTGTTGTTTCCTTTTCTTGAACTATTTGCTCCAGGAATAGATATGTCTTCATCCATCTCAATGCGTGTCTCATCCCTGTCTCTACCGTCAGATAAAATACTGTTGTCAACTTCGACGACTGTAGTGTTAGCCCCATTAGCGGTATTATGGTATCTTAACCCTGGAGTGTTCCCATTTACTTTATAAGCCCTAACTCGTTCATTTGCATTAGCTACTTCATTAGTACTAACTACACGCGATGCATCAGTTGCGTTTGGCTCGGGGATTATGGGATCTTCACGCTGTTGCGGAATATCTTTCAATCGATCCGATGATGTCTGGGGGTTTTCAACAAGTTGAGGAACAGTGGTGGAACACCCACCAGTAGCCCATGTCTGTTGAAGCTCCGAAGTCAGCGAGCCGTTCTCCCCAATAACCGATGTCTGATGAGGGTTAGGACACTGAAAAGCACGTGCGGTGTCGTCTGTGTGGTGCCCGTCTAAGATGATCCCCGTGTTGTTATGTCCTGAAGGCTCGGGCTCCTGCGGCTGACTATTATTTTCTTGTTCTGGAAACATGTCATCCACTGTAGAGAAATCCTCACCCGGCGTGGAGTGGGCGCTGTGGATGACGATAGAGGGCGTGTCTAGCGTGGACGTCAGGCCTGGAGGCCGCCGGGTGACCTCTAAATGCTCAAACGTTTGTCCAGAGTGGTCAGGTGGTGACGAGGAGGAGGATGGTGTCGTATAGGGACAGCTGGCAGTGCCGGCGTGAGGAATGCTGGGGGGTATCGCGTTCAGAACAGCTGGGGCTAGCGGAGAAAAGTGAGAGTGATCGTCTCTAGGATTTTGGCATGGCTGTTGCTGTCGATGCTGCTGCTCAGGCCGTTGGCCTGAATGTTGATGATGGTGATGCTGCTGTTGCTGCTGAGAAGAGTTGTCTGGGCGAACCTCCACTGGATAGAGCACAGCCTCTTCGTAACTTGGCGGTCGTGAAGACATCTTGCACGTCACTCACACTTCACACGCATCTGATGACAGAGAAAGACATGTTAAAATCATAATAATTGGGAACAAAAGTAAATTACAACCCCGTACTTTCATCATGACGCAAGGCGATCTAAAGTGACCCCATGCAGAGTGAATACTCCGTTGTATATACTTGGTGGCAAGGTCACAAATGGAGGGCTAAGGTTCACTTTGACCAGTGTTGCGTTGTACAGTGATAAGGGTACCACTCAGACAGCACACCAGTCTCAATGTTGTGGCTTGCAGATATTGTCGTCCTACACGGAGGACGTAAAATCGATTCCCGCACGCGGGGTGGGGGG